GCCCCAGTTTTATTTCTTTTTTAAAAAATTATTTTCCATTTATCCTCATTGTCTAATCCATTGGTTCTCTTCTCTTCCATAATATATACATTTGTTAGTTACATTATCCTTTTTGGAATGAATTGATTGATGCACAAATTAGTTACTGTCCTAAATATTTTAAGAAACCACCCTTTCTGTTCACTCTTACTACCTCTATCTTAGCTCTCGGCTCGGGTGCTCTGTTGCAGAAGCCTCTTGGCTGGTCCTGCTCCTTTGCCTCTCCCCCCAGCCTGCCCATCTCTCTGTGCCAGAGAGATCTTTCTGTAGCCCTCACCTACAGAGGAATGTCCAGGAGCTCAGGGTTGAGGGCATTTTTTCAACAGTTACCAACTTTCCCCCCTTTCCAGACCTATTTCTTATGTTCCCCTCCTGTACCTCATGCTTAGGCAGTGCTTCTGTCTGACCCCTCAGCCTGTTCTTGTCATTCCCACTACCCTAAAGCTCTTCACCCCCTCCTTCACCTCTCTCAGGAGAAACTTCAGGGCCAACCACTTCCTGGGTGTTACTTCTGCTGGTGCACATCTCTGTGGTTACAGTAACCGGGCTGCTGCTAGCCCACAGGCCTCTTTGTGCAAATTAGAAAAAGGCACCCACTCTTTCCTCAAGACACTTTTATACTTCCAACTTTGGAAGACTTTCTTTGTGACTGTATAAATCTATGAGGTCTACAATGTGAATCAGACCTTTCCAGGGTTGTGCTGTTAAAGACAGGGGAAAATTATCTTTGTATTATTAATGTCTGACCACAGTAGACCCTCAGTAACCATTTGTTAAACAAAAGAAGGAATGAAGTACAAATATGTGCCACCTCTTATCTGGAAAAATAGTGGGAAAGACTTACCTGCCAGGGCCTATTTTACTGAGCAATATGAATGTATTTTAATTCAGCAGCACATATTTTTTCCCTGCACATTTCAATATTTCTGAAATCAGCAGCTGTCTTAAAGTTGGTGTACATGGGGGTTGAGAACACAATCTTTATGGCTAGACTGCCTGGGTTTGAATCCCAAATCTTTCATTTACTAGTTATATGACTTTGGACATGTTATTTAATCTGTCTGTTTCTCAGTTTACTTATCCATAAAATGGAAATGATAATAATAATTCTTGTCTTATGGGGTTGTTGTGAGATCTAAATGAATCAGTGTATGTAATATGCTTAGAATAATTCCAGAAACATAAAGATATATTTGCTATTCTTATCAATATTATTAAAATCCATCTATACATTTAGTAGAGAGCAGTAATGGTTCAGTGGTAGAATTCTTGCCTTCTATGTGGGAGAACCGGGTTCAGTTCCTGGCCAGTGTATATCATGCACAGCTACCACGTGTCTGTCAGTGGAGACTTGCATGTTACTGTGCTACAGAACAGGTTTCAATATAGAATTTCCAGGCTAAGATGGATCAGTAAGAAAGACTTGGCAATCTACTTCTGAAAATCAGCCAATGAAAACCCTGTGGATCGCAATGGTCTGATCTACATCCAATCAGGTGGATAGTGTAGGATCAGGCCGGCAGCATTTCATTCTGTTGTACATGAGGCTGCCAAGAGTCAGGGTCCCATTCCACGGCAGCTAACAACAATGACAACATACATGTTCCCCTTCTAACCCTAAAAAGCTGTTTTTAATCCCTGATGTACAGTTTACATTGATAGCATCTTGGGCTCAGAGAAGTGTGTATTGTTGGAGCACGTCTGCACATTGGGCCCTGCCTCCTGCTGATCAGCATCTTGTGTGTGTGTGTTTTGTGTGCGCGTGCATGTGCATATACGTATATACACATGCCCATATACCCTCGTGTGTGTGCATGTATATACACATGCCCATATGCCCTCCTGCCAGTACTGCAGCCATGCGCCGCTTCCCACCACACCCTTGTTCTGGTTTCTGCAACAAAAGGTGCATTAATACACAGAAAGGAAACCAACAGACATTTTTTTCTCCCTACTAATTTGGCTGAAGAAAAAGGGGAAAACACAGGGCCCTTTAAAGACAAGGTATGTTTTGGAGTTTATACTTGACTTCTTGTTCATATTCTAAAGCCTGGCTTGGTAGTAAATATTCACTGTGTAAAAACTAGAAGTGAAAGAGAATTGGGTTTTCATATAAAGGTTTTAATCTGAAGTGTTTATCTAATTGCAGGACCACTTTCCTTTGGTGATTTTCCAGAGAGCTGTGCTACCAAGTTGCTAAAGGTAATGAGCGTTCCAGGGCCAAGTTCCCCATAGAACTGCCAGAGTATTCTCAGGTTAGACAATAGATGAAGTCATTCCCTGGATTGTGTGGGTTTCTCCTGGTCTTTCAGGTTCACCTATGGCTGTAACTTCACATGAGGGGTGGGATGAGTATTTTCTGCATTGTTTCCAAAACATTTTTCCCCCTTGTGTCTCACCCTGGCTTTAGAAGCAGTAATACTGTGGGAAGCTTTGCATAACTTATGCTGTCTACCCCACCCTGTTGAGCTCTCCTTCAAATTAAACAAGATGTGACTAATGCATTCTTTGGTGATGCTCTGACCATTTTCATTATGAGAATTAAATGGCTTTTCCCAGATCACACTACTGTAATTGACTTTTGACTCAATTTTGACAAATATTCTTATATGCTATATATAGGACCAGCTGAAACTCTTACACCAACTGGCATACATTTGTTTGGGATTTCATCAGCTTTTTCTTAGTTGGATAAAACAGTATGTAAGTAACCAATACAAAGATATTATACAACTTCACCAGCCCTAATTTGTTAAATTGATTAAGCCCTTCATACACATACTTGAACCTGGGTTAGATATTTCAGTATAGCCTGTCAATTAATTCCCATCCAAATTAAATCAAATCCATTGTCATTGAGTGGATTCTGACTCATGGAGACTTCATGTGCTTCAGGGTAGAACTCCACAGTGTTTTCAGTGGCTCTAATCTTAAAGAACTAGATTGCTAGGCCTTTCTTCCACAGTGCTGCTGAATAGATTTGAACTACCAGCATTTCAGTTAGTAATCAAGTGCAGACCATTTTCACTACACAGGGACCTTAGCCCCATCCAAGGATGTGTTTAATTATCAGTTCCCTAAAAGAATGTCCACATAAAGAACTTTCTTCATGGAGCCTCTGTGGATTCATTTGCCTTCAGGGTTTCAGAAATGATAGACAGTTGTTACTTTCCCTGTCATAAAAGGCACAGAAAAAGATGGTGAGTGGGGTTACCTGACCTCACAGAACCAACCAGTTCTGGGTGGCAATGACTGATGCTTTTAGGTCACATCAAAGGCCATTTTTTTTTTTTTTCCAAAGAAGTACAATTAAAATCTAAGGTTAGCTCTTCAAATGAGCACATCAACACTCATGAGGTCATCTTTTCCATTATTTAAACCTAGAGTTTCCATCTCTGCCCAAAATCTGACTTCTTTTTGGAGAAACATTAGCAAAGGTAGACAAAGAGGAATTTACTCAAATCTCACTCAGTGCAGCTTGGGTAGCTGAAGCAAACTGGAGCCCATAGAGAAATTTGAGTTATAACTATTTCATTAAAAAAAAACAAAAAAAAAAAAAACCAAACTCATTGTTGTCGAACTGGATCTGACTCATGGCAACCCCTCCTTGGATTTTCAAGGTGCTATCACTGTGGAATAGATTGCCCCACCTTCCTTCCAAGGAGTGGCTGGTGGGTTTGAACCACCAGCCTTCTGGTTAGCAGTCAGATGCTTTAAGCACCACACCATCAGAGCTGTTTTTTTTTTTTTAAATTAACTGTCAACATTTAGAATTTGGATAATTTCACATAATAGTCCTGATTTCTGGTACCCCTTGAGAAACTGGAAGATCCACGGAAACTTGGCCCATATGTCCCTAATTAGCCAGGGCTGGGTTGGTGCTAGGAGTTCTGGTGGTGCAATGGTTAAAGCTTATGGCTGCTGACCAAAAGGTCAGTGGTTTAAACCTACCAGCCACTCCATGCGAGAAAGGTGAGGCACAGTCTGCTTCCATAAAGATTTACAGACTTGGGAACTCTATGGGGCAGTACTATTCTATCCTATAAGGTCACTGTGAGTCATAACACAGTGACAGTAGATTTGGTTTTGGGTTTTGGTTGGGTTGGTGCTGTCTCCTCTGGCTAGGGCATGTGTTCTTCATTTTGTAACTCCTGCTTCTCTCACTTACATGACTTGTCTGGCCCCTCCAGACATTAGAATTGTGACCCCTGATCTGAGCCAGTGACCTACTCTGTTTATGATGGGATATCTGACAGTTCTCCAGAAAGGCCCAAACTGGGTGTGAGCAGTGGCTATAAGGCCACCAGGAAGGAGGATATTGGCTCCATCCAGGCCCATGTGTTGCTTTAGCCTCACCCAGGCCTTGAGGGGACGGGAGTCAACAGCAAGGGTGGGTACACTGCCCTGTGTGTGCTGAGCTGGCTTCCCTCCATCTGTTCATTCAGCCTGAAAGTCATAGCCAAGGTTCCCCATCCAGGGGGTGGAGTGTCTTTCAAAATATGAAAGAAAGCAGCCAGTGGCAGGCCCAGCCCATTCGTAGACTTACAAGACAGGCTGTTGCCACAAAAGGATAAGCTTCCTGTTTACCGGCCAGCCTGAGACAAAGTGGTTGGGCGTCCTGGCTGCACAGGACTTGGCACACAGGCTGGGTTCTGTCTGTCAGGGCAGCAAGCTGAATGCTTTCACTGTGCTCGCGGTTGGAGGGTGGCAGGGCCCCCAAGGGCTGGGCCTGGACACAGGCCACCCCCAGGGAGGGCTTTCTCATTCTGGCTCCTCAACTAGCCCTGGCCATACGAAAGGAAGGAAGCAAATGAGGGAGGGTGGCCTCACCTCCTTGCTAGCTTCCTTTTCACTGTCTTTCCTTGTGGGACCTAATCTAGGTACAGGCCCTTGGCCCAAATCTGAATCTTACAATAAATTCACATCTTTTTTTTTTTTTCTTTAAATGTCCAGAAAGCAGGATGCCAATGCCTCTGGGAAAATTGTTTCTTTTCAGTGGTGTGGTGGCTAGCGGGACCTGTACCCTTATGTATTTCGTGACACAAAGTAAGTACCTCTAGGGAGTAGACCATCTGAGACCTGGTCTCCTCCCCTTCTCATCTCCTCTTCTGTCAGGGGAAATGCTTCAGATACTTTTAGAGAAAGGAGGAGAGTGCTGGCGAACTGTTTCTTGTACATTCTGCAGCCAGTACTCTATTTCATTTGCCAGTCTCCTTATCCTGAAATGCCAGATTTTCCAGGAGCCACAAGTGCCAATAAAAAGGAGCAAAACTCATTTGCATAAGAAATCTTGCCAATCAAACTGGGGCTTTCACTCCAGTGTACACATAGAGGATCCAGCAAGATTTCTGAGATTTTCTAAAGAAAGAACAGAGGGAAAGAAGATACGATATGGTTCACAGGTGGGCAAAACTTTGGCTATTTCTGAAGTGTTGTCAGCCTGTTCACCCTGCCATTCTCTGCTGTTTATTTACTGGAGGAGGGGACCTTAAGCAAGGCACTCTGGTGAGGGCAGAAAATAAAAGCAGAAGGCAGTGCAGCAAAATCCCAGCAGATGCTGCTTCCAAACCCTCCTCACCCATATTTGAATTTCAAAAGACAGGCCACAGTGATTGTGGCAGCTGAGACATTTAAGGTCATTTCAATGCTACTGGTGGTAAAGCTGAAGCCATTTTTTGTAGACTGACTTTCTTTGTGTTTCATTTATGCCTGCACAGCTTGGTGCCTCACTTCTTCCCAGAATGTGAGTGTCACCAGTGGACAGGCAAGCAGAGCACGGTGTTCTTTTCACCTGGGTTGCACCTTCCTGCAGAGCTGGCCAGAGTTCCCTGGGTCTGGAGGTGGCCAGAGAGGAGCCTTCCCAGGGATGATTCACCTTGGAATAGCTCAACCTCCTGTCTCCTCTGCCAAAAGGACAGGAGCAGGACATGAACAGCAATGGTCATATAAAGGTCAGGGATCAGCCCTCTGGTCTGACATCCTTGCCCCTTAGGAGGCTGATGTCACCAACAGAGGCTACCAACTTGATGGTTGGGATCCTGGCCTCTGTGGCCACCTCACTGGATTGAATCCCAGCTCTGCCAGATTGTAACAACAGTGCCTATATGTGAAGTTGTGAGACTATTCAGGGCAGTGTCTAGCCATAGAGATCAGTCAATAGAGATGAGCTCTCTCCTGCTTTTCCCCTTGCCAGCCCTCCTTTCCTATTGTGGCTGGCACCCCGTTCACCCTGGCAGCATTCCGCATAGCCCCACTCCTGTGAAGCAGCACAGGCCATTTCCTCTTGTACTACTATGATCCATTGATCTGAGGGGAGCTCTGTTGCCCAACTGACAACCTTACATGGGGAGCCTAGCTTTGTTCTCTCCCTTGGACGGCTTATCTGTATCTACACTTTCAGGGAGGTGTTTCCTGGAGCCCCTGCAGCCTTTGGGCTAATAAAGGAGGTTGGTACAAAAAGCCAATCATTAACTTACTCTGCATCAAATATTTACTTCTGTAAACTTGACAAATGAGCATTTTCATTCCTATTTCTTGGCCCAAGCATTTTGTTGTTGATGTTGTGGTCGGTCTGTTTTGTGCTAGTCCATCATAACCCTCGGCTTAGTGGAGGAGCACTGTTTGTTTATACACGAGGAGTCCTGGTTTCTTGTTCTAGCTCTGCCTGTGACCAGCTGTGTCACTTGAGCAAGGCCTGAATCCCTGGGTTTTAAAAATGAAGGGAAACTTAGAGAAGATCTGATCAGAACCTTTAGTTAATAGATCAAAAAATTGAAGCTCAGAAAAGTCAAGTGCTTTGCTTAAGATCATACCACATTCCCCCAGATACTGCTCCTCTGTGCTTTGGTTTTGGAGTGTGCAGAATGGATAATTTAGAGTACATGGTCCCATGCATAAATTTCAGAAATTTCTGTTCCTATTTCCACCCTGTACATAATATTATTTAACTTTTATAGAGACTTTACCTGATCAAGTTCAGTTAACAAAACAAAGTAAAACAAAACAAATAACAACTGTCTTTCCCATTTAGAAAAGTTTTCCAAGACTTTGTATTACCAACTGGCATTGGAACACTTGCATAGCCACCTTGAGGCCCTGGAAGCTCTGGGCCCTCCTGTCAACATTCACTATCTTCATCTCACCGACAGGTTCAACTTCATTGACATTACTAATGCCCAGGTAATGTGCTATCCCTGTGAGCTGCACGCTTGGTGCCCACTGGAGGAGAGGAGGGAGATTCCCTAAGCTGGAAAGAGTCTTAGAGTAGGCTGGAGTTGATTTGGAATAGGAAAAATCTGCTAAGTTTTGGTACTTTTTAAAAGCAGTGTTATGGATTTATTTATCTTCATGTATTTTTCCTCCTTTGTGAGGACTTGATGTGTCAAATGATGTAGGGGTGATTGTGCTCAAGTCGCCATCTTGAAATGAAGACAGCAGAGAAATAACCAGTAAGGGTTTTGCCACCACTTCTGCTTTGAGCTTCAAATACATTTACAGCCACTCAGCCGTTGCCCAGCTGGAACCCAACTTTAGTATTTCCAGGAGTTGTACATTATTTCCACAGAATCCTTATCTTTTTCTTGATCTATATTTTACCTAGTAATAATTCCACATGATAAAATGCATTTGTTCTTCTGTTTAACACACGTTTGGAACTCATGCTATGTTTGAGGACTGATTCTAAGCTGTGTTGGGGATACAGAGCTGCAGAAGACTTTCAGGGAGTTTCCAGTTGAAAACTCCACAATCAGAATGAAGCAAATGCTGTTGTAGAGGACTGAGGGCATGTTAGAGGACTGTAAAGACTTAGGTAGGTGGGTCAGGTGTTCTAGGCTGTGGTGCAGGAGCTCTGGTGGCATAGTGCCTAAGGCTCTTGACTACTAACCAGAAGGCTGGTGGTTCAAACCCACCAGCCACTCCTCGGAAGGAAGGTTGGGCAATCTACTTCCATAGTGGTACTGCCTCGGAAACCCAAAGAGAGGTTGCTATGATTCGCCCAGCTGGAACCCAACTTTAGTATTTCCAGTATTTGACGGCACACAACAGGCTGTGGTGCACATAGAGCTGAGTATTCCCTGTCAGTGTGATCTCTACCTGGAGGCACAAGTCAGGGAGGGCGGAAAGTATAGGCAGGAAGGAGGAGGTGGGGCAGCTGGAGGGTCACCAACATTGCATAATGTGTGCACATTTGATGTGGTGACCAGGGAAAGCCATTGAAGAATTTTGAAGTGATATGATCTGACCTAATTTTTATTTAGTTTTTTGTTTAGAGGGAAAAGTTGTAATGTGATTTTTTTGTTTTCTCCTGACTATAAAAGCAATGTTCAGGTATTCTAATGGAGGTATTTGATCTGATCTGAAAGCAAGATGACTATATGCGGCTGCAGATATACATGGACTGGGCACAGGGAGCCTCCCTAAGAGAACAATGTGGCTGTACAGAGGGGCAGTGTGGAGAGCTGGCCTCAGGGCTGTGGCCTGGGAGAACCAGAGCTGGGTGTGAGGCCCAGGATGGACTTGGTATCAGCTATATGTTAGGAAGGTGGTCAAAGGTGATGCTCCAGTGTTCAGTGTGGACAAGTGGAAGGATGGTTGTTACACTGAAGGATTTTTTTTCTATGTTTGTGTGCACTTGTCCCTAACTACCAACACTTTAGTTAACCAGACACTCCTGCTTTACTCTTTGACAACTTCCTACCAGAAACTAGCCTGTGTACCATCCTCCAACAAGGCATAACTGCCACAGTGTATACATCAATCACTCAGTAAATCCTGCTTCCTGCCCCTTGGGTGCTGCAAACAGTTAAATGCCAGAAGATTCTAGAAAACACGATGTGTATATATACCAAAGTAGTTCTCTCTCATGTGGCCATGTAGAGTGGGTAGGATACACCCTCTCCCAGCTTGACTGCACCTTTGGATATAACTAGAGCACAGGAAGGCAGCTGGGAGGTGCCTTGTTCCCACATTGTACCCCTATGCAAGGCTCATAGCTTCGTTAATTTTCACTGAGAAACTAAAAACATTGCATTGAATACTTTTTTTTTTTTTTTTAATTGTGATTTGGGTGAAGATATACAGAGCCAATTCACTTTCCATACAGCAGTTCACATATACTTTGTCTCATGTCATTGACCACAGTTTACCACAATGCAACAGCTCCCCTCTCACTTCCTCCCCATAGTTACCTCTTCCCAGTGACCATCCCTCCGTACTCTCCTGCACCCTGAGCTGTCTCCCTGTGCATA